CTCAAGGACCATGTTCCATTGAGGGGCCTAAGTTGGGGAGATAAGGTAAAGTATTAAGAAATATTTATAGAAAGGACAAAAGAGAACAAGAGATAAGAAAACATATTCCACCTTTGTCTTTAGAATGGCATGGTTAACAAAACAAAAAGACCTGGGCTGGGCTTTATATATTAAGAGCACATTCTAATAAATCCTACTGCCACCAGGAAAAAAAAAAAAGAGATTCTTCTGGCATAAGGAGAGGCAACAGGAAGTGTGGATGAGGAGCACAAATGTAGAAAGCAAAGCTCTTTAAAACGGAAAGCAGCTGCAAGCTTCCCATCTGCAGTGTTTGTTTGCGTCGGCTCCAGTCATCACTGCTGCGATGGCTCCTGGATGAATTCCCCAGTGGAAATATCAACAAGGTAGGAAATGTGATAATTATATTTTCTGTTAGCCCCCAAAGAATATATTAAGATGGTAGATATGGACATAATTTGGAAGAAAACTGCTATGTAGTAGACACAATTGCTAATGAAATAAAACTAGTTGATTTTTCATCCTCTGGTATTAGCAGAAAGGCAAAGTCCCAGATGTTATTCTGTGCCTCTTCTAAAGAATAGTTGTAATTAAGCAACAGATAGGGTTATTGGATTGCTCTTTGCCTTTCTCTATAAAATATACATTCAGTACGTTCTAGACAATCTTCTAGAGGTCGTAATAGTAACAGTGAAGGATCCAATAGATAGCTTGGGATACCACCTCCTAGTAGGTAGTGGAGTAGAGAAAGTATTGATGCCTATTGATGTAAAAAAGGTTTCTGGAGATAGCTAACACTCGAGGGGAGATTTTTTAACTCAAAAGTATTGAATATTGATATGTAATGGAATATTGGTATGTTAAGTCCTCTTTCTGTAACTTCCAGCTTTTCTGATGCTGTCACCTAAGATGCCTGCTAAAGCCTGCACTCTCATCAGTCTTGCATGGCAATCTAGAAGTGTGGGAATATTAATGTCTTGTAGGGAAACCCTCAATCAAAAAGAACTCGAGACAATGGTCGAATGTTTCTCTCTTTTGCCCCTTGGGCAGCCAATTTTGAGATATTGTATATCTCCTCATGAGATCCGAGTGAAGTCACGCACAACTACCTACAGTGATGTTCAATGTCCCATGTGCCTTTGCAGTGACTTTCTCTCCTTCCTCATTTTATTCTCACTAGATCTTCACTCCTATTTCCTGGAATCATTTCCAGAGTAAACGACCTGAATGCAGTTCTCATCCAGGTTGTTTTCTTATGGGGATCCCAGGCTAAGATAATGCCACATTATAAAAGGAGCAGTATCTATGGACTGAAAGATGAGAGGGGGGTGTTTGTCAGAATATGGGGCTGGCATTTAATACAGTTTTCTCTCCTTTACCAGGTATCTAAATATTGGAATTGTGGAAGGTTCCTCTAGGATTTATCTGCTCTTTTTAAATAATCTTTATCTATATTTTCTCTTCTTTATCAATATTTCTCTTCTTTATCTTTATTTTCTCCTTAGACAATCTACAGTTCTATTGTTTTAAACACCACCTTTATTTTAATGCCTTCCCCAATTATATGTTTAGTCCTGATCTTGCTTCAGAGCACCAGCATCATATATCCAGTTGCCTACATATCATCTCCGTTTGGAGGTCTAACTGGCATCTTTTTCTTCATTTGTATACAATAAAACTCTTATTTACCTCCCAATAAAATAAAATAAGGTGTTTCTGACAAAATAAGCTGTTACACCCCTATTGTTTTTCATGGCACCACCATCTACACTATAGTTCAGACAAAGAAAACTTGATGTTATTCTTGGTTCTACCTTTTTCACAACCTTCCCAGCAAGTTCTGAGTATTATATCTCCAGAACAGATTTCAAATGTATCCATTTATCTTCATCCCTACTACCATTGCCCTTGTCCTAGGCATAATTGTCTTTTGTCGGGACCACTCCAATAGCCTTATAAAATCTGTTAGAGATAATACCATCAGAATAGTTTAAATAAATACACATAAGTCACTAGCCTGTTCCAAGCCTTCCAATGGTTTCCTAAGGCATCTGGAAATAAAGGTCAAAAACCTTTCCATGTTCCCAAGGCTCTATATGATCTAGACCCTGCTAACATTAGATTTACCTTTTCTTGTTCACTGTTGCTATAGACTGAATAATTATGTGACCCCAGATTCATATGTTAAAACCTGACTGCCAATGTGATGGTATTTGGAAAATCGGTCTTTGGGAGGCGATCAGATCAGGGGGCAAAGATTTCATGGATGGGATTAGCGCCTTTATAAAAGAAACTTCAGAGAGTTAATTAGTCCCTTCCATGTGAGGACATAGTGAGACTGCTGCCGGAAGCAGTCCCCACTAGAACAAGTCCACTGGTGCTTTGATCTTGAACTTTCCAGCCTCCAGAGCAGTGAGAAATGTATTTCTGTTGTTTGTAAGTCCCGCAGTCTATGGTATTCCACTACAGCAGCTGGAGTGAATGAAGACACTTATGCACCAGCCACAGTAGTATCTTTTCATTCTCTGAAAAGCCCAGCTTCTGTCGTTCCTCAGCGTCTTCCATTGCTGAACCTTCTGCCTGGATAGTTCCTTTTCCTGCTTTTCATGGTCCATACTTCTTATACTTTTGGCCTCAGTACAAGTATCTTCTCCTCTGAGAGCCATTCTTGTTTTGGTGATCTGTTAAAATGCCCTCCATCCTAGTTACTGTCTATCACTACTTGTTTATTTCTTTCATAATTCTTCTCAGAAATTTTGTATTGTGTTTTGAGCCATTTTTCTTTTCTTTTCATCTTTTCAATTAGAAGATAGGCTCTATAAGGTCAGAAATCTTTCCTGACACATTTTATATTTCTAAACTAGATCTGGCAACTTTGTGGAATATAAATGGATAGGATAATTATTTTGAGAAATTCTTCCGGATGGGTGCATTTAGGATTTTTTTTTTTCTTACACTGAGGCAAAGAACCTAATAATGTCTAATTTTTTCTGCCTCTCCTTTTTTTTTTTTTTTTTTTTTTTTTGAGTCGGAGTTTCGCTCTTGTTACCCAGGCCGGAGTGCAGTGGCACGACCTCGGCTCACTGCAACCTCCACCTCCAGGGTTCAGGCAATTCTCCTGCCTCAGCCTCCTGAGTAGCTAGGATTACAGGCACGTGCCACCATGCCCAGCTAATTTTTTGTATTTTTAGTAGAGACGGGGTTTCACTGTGTTGACCAGGATGATCTCGATCTCTTGACCTCGTGATCCACCCGCCTCGGCCTCCCAAAGTGCTGGGATTACAGGCTTGAGCCACCGCGCCCGGCCTCTGCCTCTCCTCTTAATCTATACATCCTTACATCTTTGGAACCCTAATGATACCAGGAGATGGGAGTAAATAATCATTTCTTGTGTGTGAATACATTAAGACATTCTTCTAAAACTTCACTTCTTATTTTATATGGTCAGTATTATTTTCAAGTAGGAAGCAAAACTGATGATTATCTCTTAGTAACCAAATTTATTATAACCAATTATATTTTTTCAATAGCTTTTATTTAAATAGAATGATTACATCTGAGAAGCACGAGGTTTCTGGGGGAAAAGACGTGGCTTCAATTCTATTCAGTCTATAATGTTTTTTATTTTTATAAGAATAACTTCTAATATAATCCTGCTACACACAGAATGAAATTCTTAGTACTTCTTAATTCTTCCCTGCTTAAGATACATACAAATTCATTGTCTCAATTCCTTTCAAAGACCTATGTATCAAAACGTCAATACCTTTTAATCACAGATGCTTCTTTTACTTTGGTTTCAGTTTTCATACTTGCCACATCAGGATGTGGTGCCCAGCTTTTTAATGTCATCATGGGCTGGATCTGTTTGCTTCATTTTGTGGTTCTGGGGCAGAGGGCCCTGAGTTCACTTTGGTAGCCTTATTCTAAAATTTGATGCCAAATATCATGAGTGCCAAAGGAGTAAATGTTTTTATTTTTATGGTGAAAATAATGATAAAGCAAGTCTAGTTCTGTGTTGATTAACTATTAGTATCAATTTTTATTATTTCTGAAAATACCTACACACATTTATATATGTCAAAGCTACTATTAAATTCTTAGGCAATTTTTTTTCTTAAAACAACCTTATATTACAGCATCTTACAGCTTTTTGTAATTTAGGATTTCTCATACTGAATTTTCCTAAAGAGAGATGAATGTCTATTGTTTGTGATTTACTTTATTGGTATGTATTAACTGCATCATCGGTTTTGTGACATTTAAGGCGACTAGGCTATGATGCATAGATTTGTTAATATTGTACTCTCAGTTTGCCAAAATGACGTGAAATAATTTGATTTTATATATTGCTCTAGATTCCCCTTGTTACTCTCTTATACTTTGCTTGACTTTGAGATTTTATAATACAGAGATTTTCCATACTTTAACCTCAAGAAAACTCATTACCGCTTTATTTATTTATTTATTTATTTATTTGTTTATTTATTTATTTATTGAGACTGAGTCTTGCTCTGTCTCCTAGGCTGGAGTACAGTGGTACGATTTTGGCTCACTGAACCCTCTATCTCCTGGGTTCAAGTAATTCTCTTGCCTTTGTCCCCTGAGTAGCTGGTATTACAGGTGTGTACCACCTTGCCTGGATAATTTTTGTAGTTTTACTAGAGATGAGGTTTCACCATGTTGGTTAGGCTGATCTTGAACCCCTGACCTCATAATCTGCCCTGCTTGGCCTCCCAAAGTGCTGGGATTATAGGCATGAGTCACCACACCACCATTTTCGTAAACTTGATGGGTATGAGAAATACCTCCTCAGTGATCAGTCTCACAAATGTGTCTTATCTCAAATAACTTGAAAAGAACCCAGAAAATGATCTGATGTATTTGATCAGTCAAGTGCTGGCCTTGTTTCCTCTGAGTGATTTCTATTGTCTTCATCTCTTTCTGTCTGTGCTCCATGTTTAATAATCAAATGCTCTTACCATCAGTGCAGAGGGGTCCAGACCTCCCATATGGGCAGAGGCAGACAATATCTGTTCTGGATTTTGGAACACAGGTGGCACCATTTCCACATGGGTTATTTTCACAACTTGCAAACTGGCACAGCTTGCCTGAATACAGCCTTGGACACTCACAAAACAGGTTTTCACTACCACTGAGAAGAGAAAAAAAAAGTAAAAAATCTATTAGAAAACAACTGATATTTTCTACACACACACACACATACACACACACACACATGCGTGACCGCGTATGCAAATAAAATTATAATTGCGTCTTTTCTAATGAGTGAAACTTTCTCCCTTCTTTTTCTGTTTCAACTTTTGAGTAAATGTAGCTGTGTGCTTTGCATTGAAAACAGATGAACAGTTTTATAGATTATCTGAAGCCATGAATTCTATTTCAAGCCATCTATTTTTATTTTTGATTTGTCTCATCTTTTATTTCACACTGGGTGCCTTTTCAGGGCCTCATTGAATATGTGTGGTGTTGCCTCAATAAAGTGCATCAAATGTCTATTAGCAAAAAACACCTTAGGCTCAAAGCTCAGAGGAGAATTTTAAGGTGGTGATAAGCTTCCACACACTGAGGACAAAGTCCTCCAAGAGCTGCATTTGTAGTAATTCCAAAAATAAGACACAGTGGGGAGCTATAATGACTATATAACTCTTCAGCTTAAAATATGGTTTGGTGGCCCCAGGCTGAGACGGCCCATGAAAGCAGAGCTCAGGAAAAATACTCCTCTTACCTGCCAGGGAAGCATTCTCAAGAGGGGTAGGGGAGAGAGAGCAGAGGGTGGGGAGGGAGGGGAGGATGGGGAGGGATAACATGGGGGGGAGAAATGCCATATATATAATGCACCTAAAGTAAAATAAATAAATTTAAAAAAAAGAGGGGGAAGTGATCTGGAGTTTGTTATTTCTGCCTTCTCCGCATCGATTTCACATTTAAAGTAACAGATCCCTTCACCATTCTCAGCCCATGTTGCCTGGGAGGGACAGTCTCCACTCTTGGTGCTAATCATAGTGTGTAGCGCAGGATGGATACACAACACACTAGGCCAGTTGGCCAACCTCTGCTAGAACTCTTCAGAGAGTACTCTTTATCTGCTGGTGTTGCTACACTGGTAGCTGACGGTGGCATGTGCCTGTCCACAGGGAAGAGCCTAGCCTAGAATAAATAGCTAATATTTAGCATGGTAAATATAAGTGACTGAGAAATATAGATGATTGATATTTTTGGTACCAGATCTAGCCAGTACTCTTAGTTATGTGAGCCAGTATATTCCACTGCTTTTACATTTTTTCAAGCCAGTTTGATTGGGGATTTTGTCACTTGAAGTTAGAGAATTCCATCTAATCTTTCCTTCTTTATTTTGCTCTCTCTTCTTATTATCTTAGTTTGTATACTCTGCCATATGCAGATTTAGGGTTTTACATGTTACCTTCTCAATGTGACTGTTAGCTCTTAAGCACAGGTGCCAGGATTAGCCCCCATAATTAGGAAACTAACATATTTTTATGTTTTTATGTCACAGCCTCCTAATCTAGTTGTAGATCTTACCCATACCATGAAATTTTTCCAACTATCTGTATGGTTTCTCAGTACCTTCCTAATGTCTTTGAATCACCTTACTACAAAATAATTTTGTGTGTAGGAAAGAACTATTTCTTTTATTATTATTATACTTTAAGTTCTGAGGTACATGTGTAGAATGTGCAGATTTATTTCTTTCATAATAATGAGTACCTCACTTAGAAATATGAAGGTGTTTTCTTAATATTTTTCTAAATATTTCTAAAATATTCATATTTTAATACTAATTATCAATGCTAATGTTATGAAATGCTATAGAGAAAGTTTATGTATCAGATAGTAGGTAAATCTGGCTTTGGTGGGGTTGTAAGGCTTTGAGACCTTCAGATTTTGCCAACATATAAAGCTTATCCTGTAAGTAATCAGTAATTTATGCATTTTACAAACTTCATGACAACCTGCATAGCATTCTACACATTAAAGACAAATATGAAATCTCATAAGTTTTCAGAATTGGGAAAAAATTATAGATCAATGTCCCTAAGATGATTATAAAGTACCCTAAGCAGGCTTTTGTATTTCTGTAAAATAAAGCTTTGAGGACTGCTTAGCCAATGCTGTTCCTTGTTTCCTGAGACTAGTGGTAAAAGCACAGCTGGACCACCTGGCAGGTACAGAAATATTTCTGGTGTGATCTATAGTATAAGTTAGGAAGTTAGTGTTGTTTGGGGATAATGGATAAATCTGATGTATTTTTGCTTTCACCGACCTCACTTGGAGGTTAAAGGTCAGCATCAGGCATCTTTATTCTGGGATAAAGTCTAGGAAAGTAGCACTCTTGAGAGCTGCATTCTGAAAGGACCAAATTAGTCCTTTTCAGATCAAGGAGAATGCTACATATGTGAAAGTCAAACTAATCTAAGCATTGATTGATTTAAATGCTTTAATCATATAAACCTAAACAGATTTGGCACACAGGAAAGATGTTTTTGTGGTGAAAACCAAGGAAAGCGCAATTTTTAATCAGGTCCTATTGATAAATCAAGCCTCGTTTCCTCTATCTGATTTCATCAGGTGTTGTGAGAAGTTGGTTGTGTAAATTCATGCGGAGATGACTAACTGCGTGCATCTGTATATCAGCAGGCAACTAGAGACAGAAACAGAAATTCTATAGAAAACTCTCCAAGAAAAGGGAAATTTACCATATCTAACCAAGGGCAAGTGTCCAGATCTTCTGGCCGGTTTTGATATCCCATTAGCACTTCATTAGCAAGAGTCAGCTCTAATCAACTGAGATGTTGCCAGATGATGGGGTTTCAAATTGTACCTCGAAGTTCCAAAAGACTTCCTGGAGTGTCAGATATTCCACCAACAGTTTTTGTTTCCTAAATCTATCTTTGCTATCTTCTGTATTATAAATGGACATAAAGGTTTATCTTATCTGGATCTTGTCAAAGATCCTGTTATTAAATCACAACTTTTTCAAAAGCTACCAAGTCTGCTGTCTTCTCTGTCACTTAACCTACTTTGATGTCTATCCCCAACTTACAGCAAAAAGCAGTGTTGACCCAGAAAGGGAATGCCCTAAGACTGATGGACCTATGTAAGACAGTTGACTTTTGGAAACAGTTTTTGAAACAATGTCATCCTCTTTTGCTCAGTTTACTTTAAATATTGCAGTATTTCTGTGACTGTGTCACTGCTTATTATAATTAGCTTTGAGAGAATATATTTATATGGAATATGTTTTTTTCATGAAATATATCTTTTCATCCCTAATATTTTAAAAATTTTATCCTTCACAAGACCTGTAAACCACATAGAAACCTTTTTTAGAAATCTTCCTTGAAGCAAGTCAGGAAATTTTTCTGAATTAAAATAAGTCTGGAAAATAATCCAGATTATGATGAAGTTTTTACCTATACACGAGAGCACCATTTTTTTTTTTTTTTTTTTGCAAGTGCTGCCGTCCAAAGTTTGCTGTGCACCTACATTGTGGATAGAGCTACATGCCAAGCAGTGAATACGACTTAGTTTTTTTTTAATGGCATTTTAGGTTTTGGGGTACGTGTGAAGAACATGCAAGATTGTTGCATAGGTACACATGTGGCAGTGTGATGTGCTGCCTTCCTCCCCATCATCTATATCTGGCATTTCTCCCCATGCTATCTCTCCCCAACTCCCCACCCCCTGCTGTCCCTCGCCTATATCTCCCCAACAGACCCCAGTGTATAGTGCTCCCCTCCCTGTGTCTACGTGTTCTCATTGTCCAACGCCTGCCTATGAGTGAGAACATGCGGTGTTTGATTTTCTGTTCTTGTGTCAGTTTGCTGAGAATGATGGTTTCCAGGTTCCTCCATGTCCCTGCAAAGGACACGAACTCATCATTTTTGATAACTGCATAATATTCCATGGTGTATATGTGCCATATTTTCCCTGTCCAGTCTATCATCGATGGGCATTTGGTTGGTTCCAAATCTTTGCTATTGTAAACCGTGCTGCAATGAATATTTGTGTGCATGTGTCTTAGAGTAGAACAATTTATAATCCTTTGGATATATACCCAGTAATGGGATTGCTGGGTCAAATGGAATTTCTATTTCTAGGTCCCTGAGGAATCACCACACTGTCTTCCACAATGGTTGAAGTAATTAATTTACACTCCCACCAACAGTGTAAAAGTGTTTCTATTTCTCCACATCCTCTCCAGCATCTGTTGTCTCCAGATTTTTTAATGATTGCCATTCTAACTGGCGTGAGATGGTATCTCAATGTAGTTTTGATTTGCATTTCTCTAATGACCAGTGATGATGAGCATTTTTTCATATGTTTGTTGGCCTCATGTATGTCTTCTTTTGTAAAGTGTCTGTTCATATCCTTTGCCCATTTTTGAATGGGCTTGTTTGTTTTTTTTTCTTGTAAACCTGTTTTAAGTCTTTGTAGATTCTGGATATCAGCCCTTTGTCAGATGGGTAGACTGCAAAATTTTTTTCCCATTCTGTTGGTTGCTGATTCCCTCTAATGACTGTTTATTTTGCTGTGCAGAAGCTGTGGAGTTTAATTAGTTCCCATTTGTCTATTTTGGCTTTTGTTGCCAATGCTTTTGGTGTTTTGGTCATGACATCCTTGCCTATACCTATGTCCTGAATGGTTTTGCCTAGATTTTCTTCTAGGGTTTTTATGGTGTTAGGTCTTATGTTTAAGTCTTTAATCCATCTGGAGTTAATTTTAGTGTAAGGTGTCAGGAAGGGGTCCAGTTTCTTCTTTCTGCACATGGCTAGCCAGTTTTCCCAACACCATTTATTAAACAGGGAATCCTTTCCCCATTGCTTGTTTTTGTCAGGTTTGTCAAAGATCGGATGGTTCAGTATGATATTGGCTGTTGGTTTGTCATATATAGCTTTTATTATTTTGAGATACGTTCTGTCAATACCTAGTTTATTGAGGGTTTTTATACTAAAGGGCTGTTGAATTTTGTCAAAGGCCTTCTCTGCATCAATTGAGATAATCATGTGGTTTTTGTCTTTGGTTCTGTTTATGCGGTGAATTACGTTTATAAACTTGCGTATGTTGAACCAGCCTTGCATCCCTGGGATGAAGCCTACTTGATCATGGTGG